ATCTCTTGACCTCGTGATCCACCCGCCTCGGCCTCCGGCTCTGCATCTTTTTAAAGTTCTTAAGAGATACTCCAATATTGAATAAGGGCATGAGACAGTATGTGAAATTAATGACAAGTGATATTTATAGAAGTGGTTTCTGGCAGTTATACAAGGACCTATCACCAATACGAAAACATTTTTTTTCCAGAAGTTTTTTTTTTTTCATTTTCTAAAATATTAAGTCCAATTTCAGTTGAAGCATGGGTTTGTTTTATATTCCCTTTGAATTTTAATAACAGTGAAAATATTGTTTACGTAAAACTATGACAACTACTGCAAATGGTGACAATGACCAGGATGGAGATTTGTCCTTGACTTTTAATTCGATTAAAATGCCAAGTTCTTGAACTCTACCCCAATTCCATTGCCATTGAGTTCTGTCAACTATAATTTCTGTATCAGGATTTTTAAAGACTGCCAGATTCTGGTTATGTCCTCAAAACAAAACTACATTTAAAATGTTAGGAGAGGATGGGGTGGTGGCTCACACTTGTAATCCCAACACTCTGAGATGCCAAGGCGAGTGGATCACCTGAGGTCAGGAGTTTGATACCAGCCTGGCCAACATGGCAAACCAATGCCCCCCTACCATCTCTACTAAAAAATACAAAAATCAGCTGGGTGTGGTGGCAGGTGCCTGTAATCTCAGCTACTCAAGAGGTTGAGGCAGAAGAATTGCTTGAACCCAGGAGGCAGAGGTTGCAGTGAATCAAGACTGCGCCACTACACTCCAGCCTGTGCACAGAGTGAGACTCTGTCTCAAAAAAAAAGGAGAGAAATGTAAAATCCCGCGAAAGCAAGTTAAAGTATTTTCACATACTTAGGCAAAATCGTGGGACAAAATAAAATGAAAATCAAAGGGAGAGATACATGGCTGTAAGGAAAGGTAACCTAATTCTCTGGAGTAAGTTCTGAGATGTTATATTCCCGCAAATATGGATAACTCAGAGTCCTAAGGAAAAAAAGGCAACAGCAAAACAACCTAGCTGAGAAAGTAAATACCAACAGATGGCACTAACGATTTCTCCTGCGGTGGCTGTGCCAGGCAGGACCTGGTTCCTTAATTTGCAGTACAGCATGGAAGTCTGTCCAGCATGGAGGTCAGACCGCTATCTTGGTTCTGAGACTTACTCGCTCTGCAACCTCGGTCAAGTTCCCTAACTTCTCTTAACCTATTTTCTCCCCTGTGACCTGTAAGATCTAATACCCACTGTTCCCACAGGTCCTTATAAGATGAGCTGAGCACTAATGTTAGCCTAGGCACGTTCATTTGGGACACAGAAGAGACTGTTTTTCTCTAACAATATGGAGAAAAATATTTACACCCCTCCTATTCCCTTTGAGGTCGTTCTCATTTCTCAGTTTCTGTATGAAGAAGCAGAGAAGGACACACAAGCCTGCCTCTGCAAAAATCCATCCCAAATTTTCCAAAATGCATTCTACAAACACTATGCCTAAGACATGAACCAGAGGAGTTTTTATGAGGAAGTAATTTTAGTAAATACTGTAAACTTAAAAATCTCCATTCCAGCAGAGATTCACAGTGTACATTATCACATTAAAAGGCTCTGAAAAATCCTAAAGTAATTTTCTATTACCTACACTTATCCTAAATTTATTTTATCTTGGAATCCCCTTCTCAAGTGATTTGACAAGAAAATTCTGAAAAACGCCGAACTGTCCTAACTAAAAACGAAATGTCCCCTAGCTGAGGTAACTTCAAACCTCAACAAACTATATACCACCTAGTTGGTAAGGGCAATGTCTACAACGTACTAAAACAAAGTGTTTCCATATAAGGTGTGTTTCTTTTTTCCCCTGAGACAGAGTTTCGCTATTACCCAGGTTGGAATGCGATCTTGGCTCACTGCAACCTCCGCCTCGCAAGTTCGATTCTCATACCTCAGCCTCCGAGTAGCTGGGATTAGATGCATGGTGCCACCATTCCCGGCTAATTTTTGTATTTTTTTTTTAGTAGAGACAGGGTTTCACCATGTTGGCCAGGCTGGTCTCAAACTCCTGGCCTCAAGTAATCTGCCTGCCTTGGCCTCCCAAAGTGCTGGGATTACAAGCCTGAATCACTAGCCATAAGGTTTTATTAAACAGTATTATGACACAATTTTCAATACAGAGGGTAGAAAAACACAAAACAAGGCCAATGGAACACTAAAGATTGAAAGAACAGTATGGGATCTTCAAACACCCTGCAGGCGAAATGTACATGCATTGTTTATTTTACATGCCTCTACTTTTATTTCTCATTAAGAAATGTATTTTCAACAAAAGTTTACTTTAATATTTAATATTGCATATCAACATATGCATTATATATGTTGGCCTAATGAATAATTTACTGCTGCTAATGATAGCTTAATTCAGAGTAAAGTATTTTAATTCTAAGAGGCTTATTTTTACAGGAAACTTTTCCTTTTTTTTTTTTTTTTTTTTTTTTTTTTTTTTTTTTTTTTTTTTTTTTTTTTTTTTACTTTTAGGTTCAGGGGTACATGTACAGGTTTGTGACATAGGCAAATTGCGTGTCACAGGGGTTTGGTGTACAGATTATTTTGTCACCCAGATAATGAACATAACATCCAAGAGGTGGTTTTGCTGATCCTCACCCTCCTCCCATCCTCTGCCCTCCAGGAGTCCTCAGTGTTAACGTTCCCTTCTTGGTGTCTACACGTTCTCAGTGTTACCTCTCACTTGTAAGTGAGAACATACAATATTTGGTTTTCTATTCCTGTGTGTGTTTGTTTGGGATAATGGCCTCCAGCTCCATCCAAGTTGCTGCAAAGGACATGATCTTATTCTTTCTTTTTTTTGAGATGGAGGCTCACTCTGTCACCCAGGCTAGACTGCAGTGGCCCGATCTTGGCTCACTGCAACCTCCGCCTCCTGAGTTTAAGCAATTCTCCTGCCTCAGCCTCCCGAGTAGCTTGGATGAAAGGCATCTGCCACCACGCCGGGCTAATTTTTATATTTTTAGCAGAGATGGGGTTTCACCATGCTGGCCGGCCTGGTCTTGAACTCCTGACCTCATTGATCCATCTGCCTTGGCCTCCCAAAGTGCTGGGATTGCAGGTGTGAGCCACCGTGCCTGGCCAATCTTGCTCTTTTTTTATGCATGCCTCTACTTATATGACTGAATGTATCTCACCATCTGAGTGCTCTCAATAACCCAGGAATTAATTTAAGTCAATTGTGGGGTGGAGGTCTCAAAACACAGAGGAATCGATCTGAATTAAATGAACTTGACAACTATAAAAAACCAGTTAATGAGGATGGGTGCTCCAAACCACAAAGCATATTCTGTTTCATCTGCTGATGCTTGAAAAAAATTCTTGCTGACATTAAAGTGTTATCACCGACAAAGGAATTTGCATCTTACATAAACAAATAAGATGTAAGAGAGAGAAAACAGAAATCCAGCGATTCACATTTAAGAAACGTCTTGCCTATGTCCCTTTCACATAGAGACAGGCCTGCTGCGTCCGTAGACCTGTCTGCATATGACTCCGTGTAAAATTCAGTACATGTACGAGAAGCCTTTCTAGTGATGCTTTTAGAGATGGGCAGACAACTTCACGAATCCTAGGAGGGATTATTCAGCCACAGCTTCTTACATAACTCATCTAATTGCCATCTGCACAGGCAGTTTTAACTGGTTTCATACTTAGCTTCTCTTTAAGTGCTTAACAGTGGGTAGAACTAAAAATTGAGTTTCTCAGGTGAAAATGAAACTAACAGATGACAAGAGCTGCCATTTCCTGATGATGTCTGAGACTGTCATCTCTCAGACACCTCCCAGCCATACCAGGCAGCTACAGACACTGGGATTAGTCACCAGGGCTATTCTGTACCAGACTATTTTTCAGTCAATGATTAAGATTTCATAATTTCCTCTACACTGGAGCCTGAATTTAATACTCTATGACCTTCGCTCTTTTCATTAATGATAACAACTTAACACTTTCCCAAATAGAATGAAAATCAGGTGCTGGACTGAAGTTTTTTAAAGGCAGGAAAATGCAAGATTTGTGATGCTATCAGAAAATCTTATCACCTGCCTCCTCGTTAATACATAATAAAGGATATCAAATACTGCAGACAACAGCACACAAATCGTGGTATAATCTAACTTTTATGCAAACACTTGACATCTGTCTCATACCTGGAGTAGAATTTCCCTTGCTTGGCTCTCTGTTCATGCTGCAGCCTCATGTTTTCTAGTTTGACTGGGCTTGGAATGAATCCGATTTCACAGCCTTCTTTGACCAAACGCCCTATCCACCAGTCATTGTTAAATTTCTAAACACAAAATCAAAAGCGTTAAAAATCAGCACACGGAAGGTCAACTCCTTGTTCTTCCACACCAACTATTTTCACTGGAGAGAAATGTGGCAGTGACAATGAACTATGCCTCAAATATTATCATTCAAGAAACGCTTCATTTCATGGGTTTTGCATGTAAGAAATGCTTTTAGTGTCCTCAGTAATCTAACAAAGGCTCTGCATTCCTTGCCTGTCCTGGTGCTGCCATAGGACCAGGCTGAATTCCGTTGCAGCAGCTGCTGTCACCATGAGTAGGAATAAACTCTCTGGGTCCAAAGAACAATAGCCCATCCTACCAAGAGACCTTTAGGAAGTGGTGTTACAGAAATCTTCCCCTTTTGTAATCAGACAATTGGAAATATGGAGAGAAAGAGATAAATATTGAAATCTCCCTTAAATATTTTGTGTCACAGGACAATTTACCTTTGTGCAAACAGTTTTATAATTACACAGTGCGATGTTCACAGGTGATTTCTCTACTTGTGCGATGTTGACAATTTGTCTCTTGCAGCTGGAATATGTATCTGAAATCTTTATGATTTGCCTTCATTTTCCTTGACTGAATAAATCTGTCCTTGAACACATCAATGAAGAATATACATTCTGTTTTTCATTTCCTTTCATGGCAGAAAGATCCCCCTTTCAGCACTAACATCAGGAAGACACCCCGTAGTAATTTAACTTTCTGTTGTAAAGTGAGATTCTAGGCACACCATCACTTCTGGTAACTTTTTCTATTGTTCTCACGTAGCCAGTATTTGACATCTCTTTTCAGAGGTTACCAAAATGGTAGGCTCTAAATTCTTTAGGCTCTTTCATTTTCAATTGAGATAGGGTCTCGCTTTGTTGCCCAGGCTGGAGTGCAGTGACATGATCCCAGCTCACTCCTGTCCTGAACTCCCAGGCTCAATCAATCAATCCACTGACCTCAGCCTCCTGAGTAGCTGGGACTACTGGTGTGTGCCGCCATGCCCAGCTAATTTTTTTCTCCCCCTTTTTTTTTTTTTGGTAGAGATAGTATTTTACCCTGTTGCCCAGGCTGGTCTCAAACTCCTGGGCTCAAGAGATTTGCCTTCCTCGGCCTCCCAAAGTGCCTGGATTACAGGCAGGAGCCATAGGACCCAGTCTTCTAGGTTCTTTTAATTGGCAGCCATCATCACCTTCTTTGCTGACACCCTTCAGTGCAGTGAAGAGTTAAATTTACACATGCTCCCTATGACATATTATCCATTAGACGGAAGGGCTCCAAGTATAATTCCTCCAGGTCCAAGAAAAACCTCAGGCTCATACACATAGAATATTCTACAGGGGAAATTTCTGGTCAGTTAACACAGTGCTTCACAAAGCAGGCATTTGGTAAATGCTGACTCCAAACAAACCTTAATTAAGGATGAATGTTTCCAATTTGCAGGTTGTGTCATTGCTTACTAAGAGGTGGAGACATTTAGCGTTTAGGAAAAGGACTTTTCGTGGTATCTCTTTGCTGCCTTATTGGCCTCAATTCTTAGCATTCTCTCATCCACTGCAGAAACTTAGCATTTAAGGAGGAAAAAGGGCATTGGTGGTTTGAATTTAGACACTGACAGCAGAGAGAAGAGTCATGATTTCTAGATATTATTAGTAAACCCTCCCCAGATGACTAGAATCCAGGCATCAGGAAAAACTGCACCTAGTCAAGGTGAAACACCAGAAGAAGTAGAAGTTAAGCAACAAAAAGAATCATCTACTCTAGCAGTTCCCAATTTCTGGGCCACAGAGCCCCGGGGAGCACTGAAGTTATTGCAAGAGGCCTGTGACTTCTTTCCACTTTAAAAGGTATATTTATATGAGTGGAGGTTGAGAGCCATTGATTTAGCATGTATGTCACACAACCGCAGTGATGTGCAATGCTACTTCACAGAAGTGGCATGTGAATAGGAAATAAGAAATGGTATGTCAAGGTGAAACATGATGCTGATAGAAAAAGAAGTTATTTTCCTTACTTCCTTAACATGCAGAAAATCTTTTGCTTCGAAGGAAATGGCCATGCCAGGCACCGGCACGTCATCTTCATGGGCTGCGCTGTAGCTGACATTTGTCCGAACCGCAAATGCAACGGGCTTTGTCTAAAGTGGAAAAAGGAAAAGGGAGAAAATTAAGAGCAAAACGACAGTGTCCCTCCTTTTCCCCCCGCAAATACAAAGATACACTGAAGAACTACTGTAACCATTGTGGGTTTCCCCTCCGAATTGGTTCTTCATCACACAACAGCTTGTTCGTATTTCCAACACGTGAAACCTCCCAGCTCTGAGCTACATAACACCCATTTCTGAACTAGAAAAAAGCCATTGTTCTCTTTGAAAGCGCTACAAGTAATGAAGGTGAAGATGAGTCACGGAAACACGTGTTTTCAGCACGGGAGCTTGCAGCAATTGTAAATGAGAAAACGCAAACATGAATAAAACGCCCAGTTCTTTGGTTTCGGTGGAGAGGACTTAGTAACTGCCTCACTACTCCAAACATCTACTTTAATTCATTGATTATTAATGACATAATTCCACAAGGTACAATCTTTTGAATGAAAAATGAACCAGGGAATATATGCTACAGCTGTAGCAACTCTTATTCATGGCTGCAGGGAATTATGAAAGCAATGACCTTTTCTTCTATCATTTCTCCTCCTTGAGTTTGTTCAACTACTAAAGATGATATTAATTAAGCTCCCTTTCCTCATTTGATGCTTTGAAATTTTACAGATAAATTGCTGGGAGTGGTGGCTCACACCTGTAATCTCAGCACTTTGTGAGGCCAAGACAACAGTATTGCTTGAGCCTGGGAGTTCAAGATCAGCCTGGGCAACGTAGCAAGACCTCTTCTCACTAAAAATCAAAACCGAACATTAACTAGCTGTGGTGGCAGGCACCTATAGTCCCAACTACTTGGGAGAGTAAGGCAAGAGGATCACTTAAGCCCAGGAGGTCTAGGCTGCAGTGAGCTGTGATCATGTGGCTGCACTCCAGCCTGGGGACAAAGCGAGTCCCTGTCTAAAAAAANAAAAAAAAAAAAAAAAAGAAAAAGCCAAACCAAACCAAAAGAATGTGTGGATAAGCATTTGTTCTCTCTTTAGCCAATACCTACTTATCCACAAGATGGAAAAACAGGTAAGCTCATAAATGGTGAAAATGGTACTGTTCTAATATTGTGTTTCTTTCCGCTTATGGGCAAGTGAATTGCTTCTATATGTTTCCTGTTTGTTTGTTTGACAGCGTCTCACCCTGTAGCCCAGGCTGGAGTTCAGTGGTACAGTCTCAGCTCACTGCAACCTCCTCTTTCTGAGTTCAAGTGATTCTTCTGCCTCAGTCTGCCGAGTAGCTGGGATTACAGGCGTAAGCCACCATGCCCAGGTAATTTTTTGTATTCTGAGTAGAGACAGGCTTTCACTGAGTTGTCCAGGCTGGGCTCGAACTCCTGACCTTAGGTGATCTAAGGGATCGCCCCAGCCTCCCAAAGTGTTGGGATTTATAGGTACGAGCCATGGTGCCTGGCCTCTTCTATATATTTCTTATATACATGATATATACAAAGTGACATAGCTTTTCATGTAATGTTCTTTTTAACCTACTCTTTTAAAAACTGAGCACGGAGCAGTTTCTCCCTACTCAGTGAGCTCTTTACCAGGACTTGCCAGAGAAGATGAGGGGGAGTTGGAGTAGACAGAACCCATGTTCATATCCAAATTTTCCAAAGTTAATTTGTTCTACCTGACTGTTGCCTGGGTGGAAGACTTGAGTTAAGAGCCCTGATGTTACTAAGATCTAGTGACAATCTGCAGCCTGGGAAAGGAGGACCAAGTTCTGGATACAGGCACAAAAGACATGAGGTGGATTTAAATATTTGGAAGCCAGTTCTTGACATCCACTACACACACATACATGGGTATATATATTTTTAAAAATTTTTTTTTTTTTTAGAAAGAGTCTCACTCTGTCACCCAAGATGCAGTGCAGTGGCACCATCTTGGCTCACAGCAAACTCTGCCTCCTGGGTCAAGCGATTCTCCTGCCTCAGCCTCCTGAGTAGCTGGGATTACAGGCGGGCAGCACCATGCCTAGCTAATTTTTGTATTTTTAGTAGAGATGGGGTTTCACCATGTTGGCCAGGCTGTTCTTGAACCTCAGGTGATCTGCCTGCCTTGGCCTCCCAAAGTGCTGGGACTACAGGCGTGAGCCACCGCACCTGGCAACATCCACCATGCATATATATATATAGCAACTCTTATTCATTGCTGCAAGGAACTGCAAATTTTTTTTCACAATTATATAGTGGATGTTGTTACATATTATTAATATATGTGTATGTGTGTGTGTGTATATGTATGTATGTGTATATATATATATATATATGTGTGTATATATATATATATATATATATATCTGTGTATTTTTTTGGGACTGAGTCTCACTGCGACACCTAGGCTGGAGTGCAATGGCATGATCCCAGCTCACTGCAACCTCTGCCTCCTGGATTCAAGGGATTCCTCTGCCCCAGCCTTCTGAGTAGCCGGGAGAGCTGGTGCCCACCACAATGCTTGGCTAATTTTTGTATTTTTAGTACAGATGGGGTTTCACCATATTGGCTAGGCTGGTCTTGAACGACATCTACTGCAATTTTTAATGATGCAAGGGGTGCTACTTCTTGTGTTGAAGTATGGGAATTAAAAATACACTTTAGAGGTACCTACAGGGGCACCACTGAAGCACAATCCTTGCTAGTATGATGTTCCCATTTTATTCTAGGAATTTTCTTAAATATGTAAAATTTTCTTCCAGAGCTACAATCATAATATATGGCATTTCATACAATGTTAAACATAAAAAAATTCTGTTTTTTTTTTAAAGGCCAGGTCCCGTGGCCCATGCCTGTAAATCCCAACACTTTGGGAGGGCATGATGGGAGCATCACTTGAGCCCAGGAGTTTGAGACCAGCCTGGGCAACAAAGTGAGACCTCATCTCTTAAACACACACACACACACACACACACACACGATATACTTTTTAAAATATATTTTTAAACTACCTTGGCCAGACGCAGTGGTTCATGCCTATAATCCCAGCATTTGGGGAACATGAGGTGGGCAGATGACCTGAGGTCAAGAGTTCAAAACCAGCCTGGCCAACATGGTGAAACCGCATTGCTACAAAAATACAAAAATTAGCTGAGCACAGTGGTGCATGCCTGTAATCCCAGCTACTTGGGAGGCTGAGACAGGAGAATCGCTTGAATCTGGGAAGCAGAGGCTGCAGTGGGCCAAGATCACTGCACCACTGTGCTCTAGCCTGGGTGACAGAGTGAGACTCCATCTCAAAAACAAACAAACAGACTAAAAGACCACCTCAACCATTCACCATTTTTTGATATTTAATGGTTCATATTATTAAACATGAGAAATATTCTGCTTTGAAAAAACTTTGTACAAAAAGCCTCTATTTAGAGTTATTTCCTTAGCGTGGAGTCCCAGATGTAGCATGTGTCAGCCATGAGTTATTAAGACTTTTTAAAATTCTGTTCCAAACTACTGACCAAATGGGCCTTGCTGTTTTATACTGTACCCAGCACTAAATAACGGTGCCCTTTTTAGTGAGATGTAATCTTAAAAATATTTTAAAGTTTTTACATTTTATTTTATTTTTTTAAGTTTTGTAGAGACAAGGTGTTGCTATGTTGCCCAGGCTGGTCTCAAACTCCTGGCCTCTCGTAAGCCTCCTGCCTCAGCCTCCCAAAAATGTAGTCATCCCAAAACTCAATTTTACCACTAGAAACACAATTTCCATGAGTAGATCCATCCATTATTCAGAAAAGTTTCTGATCACTATAGGATAGATTCAAGATTAAAAAAAAAATGCTAGCATGGTCTTTCACTTCTTTTAGGTATTTCTTTTATTTCTTAGAAGATATGGAGTTTAAGCATCGCATATATTTTTTTCATCAATGTAAGACAAATTTTTAATGCCTGACTTGACAGAAGACCCCATAGAAAATCTTACGACTTTTACCAACTTTTTATCACTTTTCCATTATCTGAGTAGCGGCAAGAGGGAACTGAAAAAGGAAAAAGAACGTTCAGTGGTGGTGGAAATTGGTGTATAATTCCCGGGACCACAGGTAGTAATTTGATGCTCTTAGATTAAGATGTTAAGTTGGAATGTGCCTCTGTTCTTGCCTCACCTCCTGTAACCAACGATGCTACTATTAGATGTGGTTTATATGGGAATTAGCTTTACAGAACCAGGAAAGAACAGCAGATACCCATTCCTCAATATCTTTACTTCAGGAACTATATTTCTAGAATTAGACTAGAAGTACAGTCAAGGGTTTCGGGGGAACAGATGTAGCCAAGATAAAAGACCCCAGGTGCTATACCAAAGAGGCCAGATGGCAGTGTCACTTCGGATTCCCTGGTTCCACTTCGGCTTGCAGTGCGTTACAACATGGAAGGTATTTTCCACATTAATTTCTTTCATATGGGTTCAAGGATAAGGGATTTTAAGTGGACCTGGATATGAATGTTTATTCTGCCATTTATTACGAGAGTGGCCTGGGCAAATTCTTTAGCCTCATTGAGCACGTTTTCACATGGCTAAAACAAGAGTAAGAGCACCATTCTTTAAGGTAACGAGATTACAGGAAATGCACAGCACCAGACTAAGGCGAGTGGTGTGTATACAGTCATCCATTGATATCTGCCATGATATTGTTTGCAGGACCTCCAAAATCTACGGATGTTCAAGTCCTTGATATAAACCAGCATACTATTTGCACATAACCTGCCCACAACCTCTGTATGCTTTATCACTAGATCACTTATGATACCTAATGCAATGTAAGTGCTATTTACAATGTAAACAGTTGAATAACTAGTTATTCAACTACATTGCTTTTTATGTCTATCATTCTTATTTTTGTAATTTTTTTTAACACTTTCCATCCACAGTTGGTTGAATCCATGAATGTGGAACCCATGGATAAGCAGGGCTGACTATATAAAGTACTTATTAGTAGACATTTGCTATATACCAAAATAAATGCTACACGTTAAGTAAATATTTCCCCACATTTTACCCCCCCATTAAGGCCCAGCACAAGTCATTTCACTGTAAACATCCTCAATACAGTGCCACATACATGACAGAAACTAACTCACCGTTAAAGTCAAGATGATTTTCTGTGATATAGATTCTTTCATATTCTCTAGAACTTGAGCAAATGGTAAGGTTTTCCCACATTTTTTTTTTTAAACAGAGCATTGCTCTGTTGCCCAGGACTGGAATGAAGTGGTGTGATCTTGGCTCAATGCAATCTTTGTTTCCTGGGTTCAAGCAATTATCCTGCCTCAGCCTCCCAAGCAGTTGGGACTACAGGTGCATGCCGCCACACCTGGCTAATTTTTGTAGTTTTAGCAGAGATGGAATTTTGCCATGTTGGCCAGGCTGGTCTCAAACTCTTGACCTCAAGTGATCTGCCTGCCTCAGCCTCCCAAAGTGCTGGGATTACAGGTGTGAGCCACCACGCCTGGCCAGGTTTTCTTACATTCACTTTGTTCTATCTTGATATGGTTTGACTTTGTGTCCCTGGTCAAACTGATGTCAAACTGTAATACCCAGTGTTGGAGGTGGGGCCTGGCAGGAGGTGATTGGATCATGCACGGGGGGGGGGGGGATTTTCCCCTTTGGTGCTGTTCTCATGATAGAATTCTCACAAGATCTGATTGTATCAATGTGCATGGCATCTCTCGCCTCCCTCTCTCTGTCTGTCTCTCTCTCTCTCTCTCTCTCTCTCGTGCCAGCACCAGCCATATATGACATGCCTGCTTTCCCTTCACCTTCCTCCATGACTGTAAGTTTCCTGAGGCCTCCCCAGAAGCCAGATGCCAAAATGATTCCTGCACAGCTTGCAGAACTGTGAGCCAGTTAAATCTCTTTTCTTGATAAATTACTCAGCCTCAGGTATTTCTTTATCACAATGCAGGAATAGACTAATATATGCCTCTTAAATTCCAATTTTTTTTGATAGTCCTCAAACTCTGAGGCTTTTTTTTCCTTAACCAACTTGAAGTTCCAAGGCACTATTCCTTAAGAAATTAATTTTTTATCCATGAAACCATTTGTTAATCAAATGGATCATGTTTTAAGTTGACATATTATTTTTGGCTCAATCTCAGAATGGTAAAGGGTCACATGGAACTCTTCACTCTTGCCAATCAGGGCTCTGGTCCTTGCTCACACTCCAAAATTCACTTTTGGTCTGGAAGCCTACCAATTTTTCTTTTTCCTCTCCCACAGCATCTCTCTGTCGCCCAGGCTGGAATGCAGGGTGTAATCGTGGGTCACTGTAGCCTCACCCTCCTAGGCTCAAATACTCCTCCGGTCTCAGCTTCCTGAATAGCTGGGACTATCGGCTCATGCCACCATGCCCAGCTAACTTTCTTTACTTTTTGGAGAGATGAGGTCTTGTTTTAATGCACAGGCTGATCTTGAACTTCTGGCCTCAACGGATCCTCCTGCCTTGGCCTCCCAAAGGGCTGAGATTATGGATGTGAGCCAGCGCACCCAGACCTACCAGATTTTTAGGATTTTCTAGCATCATGGTCCTGGGCATGGTTCAGCTCATCCCTAGTTCAATCCTACATGATCCATCATAAAAACTGATGAATATAACTGATTCTTGGATATAAATGTTTTGAGGCCAGTGGGCCACTTATTTTTTCTTCTTCCAGTAAAGGAAAGTTTCAAGAAGCAAGAACAAACAGAAGCCAAGAAATCCTGGCGTTCCAGAGGTTTCACGAAAACACCAGAACAATGGGGACTGTGATAAGAGACTGGCACAGTGCTCTGGGACATGCTAGGACCAAGAGGTTCTCTAGCTCTTGAGGGAAGCAAAGCTAGTCCATATTCCAAGGCCAAATGTAACGTGGTCTGCTCTAGCTAATAGTTTCTCCTTCATGCTGTCCTTTTCCTGCCACGCTCTAACTCTAGGGCCTCCCTGGTTTATCTGAAAGGCTTGGTCACAGCTGAAGGGTAAGGTGGGGAAGAAAAGCAGAAGGCACAGATATAGAAATAGCCTACAGCCCCATGTAGGATCCTGCAGAAAAAGCTTCAGGGATGGCTACGGCGGAATTGTCTTAAAATCCACATTTAGATTTAGATTCACCCTGCTCTACAGAATCATCATCAGGATGCTGCATTGGTTGGGAGACAATATGGTCCTTCATTGTACTTTCTACTTTCACTCAGCCTCTATTAACATCCTAAGGACTTTATTGCCACGCAGTGTCAGAGCTACAGTCCACTTTTGCAGATTCTACCTGGATTCCTGGCCAACTTTTTTTGTGGCTATGGAGGGTCAGGCCCATGGGGTGACGTCACACTTTTCTACCAGTGTTTGCTTCTCCCTGTTCCAAGCTGACATAAAAAGGAATTGATTCCTTTTCCAGTTTCTGGTACTTTCTACATGGTATATGAGCATGTGCTATACAGCATGAGGGTGACCGGTCAGTCATCCATGCATTGTGGCCCCGTTTTTGGGATAAAGAATTAAAAGTTTGCTGCATATTGGTTTGTGGACTAAACCTGAAAAGATTCTCAAAATTGATCTGTAAGTACCAATTTGTAGAAGAGTGTCATCTCTTTATCTGGACAACAATGTTAAAATACTTTAAAAACACCAAGGCTGGTCTGGTGTGGGGGCTCACATCTATAACCTGAGTCAGGTGGATTGCTTGAGCCCAGGAGTTTGAGACCAGCCGGGGGAACATAGTCTTCACCAAAAAATACAAAGCTTTGTCTTTACCAAAAAAATATAAACATTAGCCAGGCATGGTGGCATGCGCCTGTAGTCCCTGCTACTCAAGGGTGCAGTGAACTATGATCATGCCACTGCACTCTAGCCTGGGCAACAGACAGAGACCCTGTATCAAAAAATAAAAACAAAAACATCAAGGCCATGTCTTGTTTAACACTGTATCTTCAGTATGTTTTCAATGAATGCTTATTGAGAAGCGAATGCATAAATGTTAAGAGGTGTTTGGAAATTCTTATTCTCTTCTTCCACATCTTTCTTTACCTTGTACATGACAGGACTTACTATAAAATGATGAAAGCTACCACTATGGGAATGTCTGTCAAGGGATAAGCAGTGTGCTGTATATTATACATAGATTGCTACACTTTATTTAATCCCAGCTACAACTGTTTGATTCCAAGGTGAGGAAACTGAGGCTCAGAAGAGTTCTCCCAGCCATTCACTGTGGCACATGCCCGTAGCCTCAGCTATTCAGGAGGCTGAGGCAATAGGATGGCTTGAGTTCAGGAGTTTGAATCTAGCCTGGGCAATATTGCAAGACCCTTTCTCTGGGGAAAAAAAAAAAGTAAAGTTTTAAGACAACATTTGTGTAAGATTTTTTTTTTCTGAGACGGAGTTTTGCTCTTGTTGCTCAGGCTGGAGTGCAATGGCGCAGTCTCAGTTCACTGCAACCTCTGCCTCCCAGGTTCAAGCAATTCTCCTGCCTCAACCCTTGAGAAGGTGGGATTACAGGCACCTACGACCACGCCCAGCTAACTTTTTTGTATATTTAGTAGAGACAGGGTTTTATCATGTTGGCCAGGCTGGTCTCAAATTCCTGACCTCAGGAGATCCATCTGCCTTGGCCTCCCAGAGTGCTGAGATTACAGGCTTGAGCCACTATGTCCAGCCAAGATTTTCTTAAAAAAATGTTATCCCAGGCCATAAACCTTAGAGGTGGTGTTAAAATCTATTTCTCACCAAAGCCTGAATTTTTCCTATAGCACTAGACTGCTTTTCATTTAAAGGGGTACGTAGATGGCAATTCAATAGCATTTAGGTGTTTATGTGAAATTGTGAAGACATGAAAGTTATAATTTACAAAATGCTAAAAACTGGTTGGTATAAAGTTAAAAAAAAAATTAGTCCCAAGTCTGCCTTGTTGTGTGACACTCACATGTGAGCACTTTCACATGTTAGCACACTGGGTGTACTGTAACCTCTTCCTTTTAAGTTCAAAGATGCACTTAAAATAATGTGACGCCCAGTAAATAAATGGCAATGTCAAATCAGGATTATTTGTTTATTTAGATCTACTATTTCTCTCTTCACATCTCTTTTTCACCATCTATAAAGTTTTATTTCATGAATGGCTGGATGCAGTGGCTCATGCCTGTCCAGCACTTTGGGAGGCTGAGGCGAGCGGATCACCTGAGGTCAGGAGTTTGAGACCAGCCAAGGAAACATGGTGAAAACCCATCTCTATTAAAAATACAATTTGCATGGCTTTTGGCTCCTTCTTATAGAACTAGGGTCTCTGTGGCCTTTCAGTGTTCCCTGTACAGGGTTCTTGGTGTGGAACTTCATAAACTATGAAGCCATGTATGTCCTCATATCTCAATTCACTTTGCATGAAATAGAGCCTTTTTTTTTTTTTTTTTTTTT